CGAAGCAGATATCATCCTCTTTTGGAAGGCCAAACAAAGTAGTTTCGCTTTCACAATGAAACACACAGCGTCTTCACGACATGGCAGCGGAAACAGCAAAACTACAGCGAGAATAAAAGTTACGCCTTCTTTCTTTGTGTGAACATTTGGGCGGTGTTATGCAAATCTTCCCACAGAGCGATGTAGAAATGTGGAGGCGTGTTAGAACGAGCCGTTTTAGGTAGGTGTGGCTGACTCTTAACTTTTATAAAGAATATCTCTTTGGATTTGAGACTTTAGTCTTTGCAACTTTACAGATCTTCTTTATGCACCAAGAGCTTGTAACACTCCAAAGAGAAAGGAAAAATTGAAATCGCATGATATGACCCCTTTAAAGTCCGTAACCTTTAACTCATGTCCTAAGGCGCAATGGCAAAGGTCTTACAACATAGTGTGCTATAACTCATGCTCACCGTACTGTGCAGGTGTAAAAATTCTATCTTTATATGCAGGTGCCGCCCACCGTTAAGACTCCAGAGAAGAGTCATGAAGATGGGGAAGCCATGCTACCCTATGACCCAGACACCCAGACCCTCATCGATGGTTGGCTCTGCTGCCAGTCCTATTCATCAATACGTTACAGAGAAATCCGTTTGTACTCATCGAGTTGTTCTTTGTTTTCCTCTGCTAACCAACTGTTCTCTGGTTCGCAGCTGCTCAGAAGGCCAGAGATGACTTCGAGGATTCTGAAAAAGCTCTTCGGGAGATGGACGATCAAATCAGGTTTGTTCAATGCTGCAATCTTCCACGAACCGGTCGAAAGAAGTTGAGTTTGAAATCAAGTGGGAGTGTAGCGAACTGGTTTTTCATATGCACCTGAAATTCTCATTGGTCAGTGTATGCTTACATCAGAGTGCGCTGTTTGTTCAACTTATGGTTGCATCACTTGCGTCCTTCAATGCATCTGCAGTGTTCTCTGACGCTGGTGCGCGGGGACCCTGCTGCTGAGCACTGTGTTGAGTTTTCCTTTGATTGTGTTGCAGAAATATTGAAAAAGAGCTGTCGTTTGATTTCGGCCCTGAAGCGGAGTTCACTTACCTGTACAGCCAGTGCTACGAGCTTACCACTAGCGAGTAAGTGAGACCAGCGTTTGTTGTTTTGGAATGATATTTTTGTGCTGTGATTTATTTCTGTATTCTGTTTGCTTTTAGGTACATCTACAGACTCTGTCCTTTCAACCGGGTTTCACAGAAACCGAAGTATGGTGGCTCAGAGACCAACCTTGGGTAAGAGGCATTGTGGGGGAAAAAACAGGGTGGTTTGGTTTTAGAGTTTTTGGCCACTTTTCAGTTAATTAAGTTAAAACTTTTATTCTGCAAGGATGCATTAAGTTGATCAGAAGCAACAGTAAAGACTTTTATAGTTTTTATAAAGATTACAGTGCTGTTTTTTTAACTTTCTGTTTATCAAAGAAAAACAATGTCATGGTTTCCACGAATTATTCCCCAAAAAATGTTTTTTTGTTTTTAACATTCATAATCAGAAATGTTTCTTGAGCAGCAAATCAGCATATTAGAATAATTTCTGAATAACCATGTGACACTGAAGACTGGAGTAATGCTACTGGGGAAAAAAAAGCTTTGCATCACAGGAATAAATTACATTTTAAAATATATAAAGATGGAAAACATTTAAACATTTATTTTAAAATGTAATATTTCACAATATTACTATTTTTATTTTGATCAAATAAATGCAGCCTTTGTGAGAATAAGACACTTCTTTCAAAAACATGAATAAAACCTTTAAAAAAAATCAAAACCTTTGAATGGTAGTATAAATACCATATTGGCTATTAGTGGATATCAAGGCAATTTTTTTTATTTACTGATATTGATTGATATTGAACCGTTTATACCTTTTTGTTTTTTGCTGCTATTTAACACTCATTTAAAGTTCATTTTTAACACTCTTAATATTTTAATAACACTTTTAAATATTATCTTTTTTTTGAAAACCTCAGAATGAATGTCATTCTGTTCATTATAATGTTGTAATGCCTCAATGTCTAAATTCACTTCTAGCATTTTTAGATTTAACTTTTTTTAGTGTTTTATTTTACGGTAATTTACTCTAATTTACGGTCTCTGACTCACAGACACATTAATATCAGAAAATAGAAGTAAAAGTTAAAAATCTTTATTTAGACAGTATAGAGCTTTTTTTATTTTTATGGTGCATCCATAGCAATCAACTAAACACCTGATTGGTGTTAACAGCTTAAACCTGTTAAGACCAGCAAACCACTTTAGACTGGTTTAAGCTTTTTTTTCTCTCTCTCTTCAATATCACATCACTTTGTCATCACATTTGCAATATCATGGTGTGAGTGTTTTTGACAGTATTTAATAAGAGATGCTCATGTTCTCAGGACATGGGGAAGTTGGTCAGGGCCTGAAAATAATAAATACTTGGTGATGAAATACGAGCACGGCACTGGGTGCTGGCAAGGTCCAAACAGATCAACTACAGTAAGTACCGGCTCCTTCATTACTTCCACTGTGCTATTCACGCTGGGAGTTTTTCTGCTATGTGTATCTTTGTGTGGTAGGTGAAGCTGACTTGTGGGAAGGAGACTGTGGTGACCTCGACGTCGGAGCCGAGTCGCTGTGAATACCTAATGGAATTCACCACTCCTGCAGTTTGCCAAGAGTCAGCCAACATGGACCTCTCGCCACACGGCCACGAGGAGCTCTAGACTCCACGCTCTGCTTGATGATGCATGGTGTGCCACAAAATACATGCAAACTCTATTTTAAATGTTTAAAGCACTCTTAATGGAAAAAACAAGGCTTAATCTTTCAATTATCTTCAAGGCCACATTGTGATGATGCCCTGTCCGGCCGGAGCGACGAGACAAAAACATTAAAACCCATTATAAACGAGGCATTTGTTGCATCCAGTGAGGACATATTTACGGATTATAATGATTTATACCGTCTTTTTACGCGTTGCGTTGCATTGCGTATCGCGCTGCGTAAACATAAAACCATGTCTGCATTTGTGATCGGAGAAATGACAAACAACAAGCGCTACTCTACATTGCTCAAAACTCGCGTTTAAATCGTCAGTGGCAAATTCTTTAAATAGGAACACGTACTTACAGTCTGTGAGTCAGAACAGCCGGCATTGTAGTCTACTCTACCAGGATCAGGAAACAGTCCTCCATAAAATGCGCTGCACACATCTGACTATTTGGGTTGAACTGTTCTGGAACAGTGTTGTAAATACAACTTAACCACTGATTTCTAGTCGTGTCCTCTTTTGGAAGGCCAAACAAAGTAGTTTCGCTTTCACAACGAAACACACAACGTCTTCACGACATGGCGGCGGCGGTGGCAGCAACAATAAAGTTACGCCTTCTTTTTTTGCGCGAACATTTGGGCGGCGTTATGCAAATCTTCCCACATCGTGACGTAGACATGTGGGGGCATGTTTAAACGAGGCGTTTTAGGAGGGTGTGGACGAGTCTTAACTTTTATGAAGAATATCTCTTTGGATTTGAGACTTTAGTCTTTGCGACTTTACAGATCTTCTTTATTCACCAAGAGCTTGTAACACTCCAGAGAGAAAGGAAAAATTGAAATCGCATCATATGACCCCTTTAATATCAAATTTGGAAAACCTTTAGCTGTCTGGAACAAGTGTGCATATCTCAAGTATTATATACAAAAGATCTTGTTTTGTCTGTAGTTGTTCTTAAACATCTTTGACTGACTTTATTCAGTTTACGATAAGCCTAACTTACAAATTTCCTGAAATCAGCTTTTCCATCTATACTGATGTATACTGTGCATTATCATCAATTCATGACTGTAAAGTGCAGTTAATTGTGCATTATGTTCTTCAGAATACATTAAATGTTTGAGTGTGGTGACAAATCAATATTAACTTTTTTCCCCTCTCTCTCTCTCTCCTGGTCTGTAGGTTGTTGCTCTGTGGGAACATTAACTTCATTTCCTGTTCAGGCTGTTTAAGAACCTCTTCCATTAGTTTTGAATCAGCTAAATGAGGCTGGAAGTTGGGAGAACATTAAGTTTGGTAAACTGTAATGTTTTGTTGTTTTTACAGGTGTAGAATCTGATCTCTTTACATTCCATGGATAATTTTGAAATAAATTCAACAAAAAAAAAACATTACATTACGTCAAGGTTTCACAAATACGGTTTGAGTTTAAAGAAAAGCTATTCATTAATTTTAAAATGTGAAGCTAAAATAATAATCAAAATAAATCCATGTGATAAACATGTTCGGTCATAAGTAGTCTGATTATATTACCTGAAATGTGTAATGTAATAGATTACGTTACTAACTACAATATTTGTCATGTAATCTGGAATCAGTAATGGACTACCTTTTGTAAGTAATCTACCCAGCACTGTTCAGTATGCACTAATACTATGTACTATTTAGTCTACTGTGTAGTGTATGAATTTTTTCATCCAGTATCAGAGTTTAATAGCCCCTTCCCCTGAGCACGAGTGCAACAGTTAATTAAGTGCATTATCTGCTTATTTGAAGTGCACTTTTTCATTTCGGACTGTTCAGTGTGAACACTGCTGACACTGTATGCTACAAAATGGTTTAGAGTAGTGCATAATTACACGTTTAGTGTAGGAAGTGGACAACCTCAATTGTCATTGGCTAGCTGACTGAGGTTAATGTTTTACACACTAGACTATGAACTTCAGCATTACCTGTTGTTTACTGTTGTAAGTTGTAAACCTGTTAAATATCAAGCTGTTTGTTAACTTTACTGACCAAGTTCAAATCGAATGAAGAATTTCATTTTGTCCTGAATGAGTGCAGCAGCATGTGATGTACACCTACAAACCCCCTAAAAAAATGCAGGCACAAAGAAAACACTGAGATTCATATCTTTTATTTTTTCTGGCATGTAAAGTACAAATAATTAAACAATTCCATGAAAAAGTCCTCAAGCGTCTTCAGCTGAAATCCCAGTAATAAATATCCTAAACTAAACTGAAAGGTTTATTATTTTTTCCCCCCTTTGTTGTGTGTTTGTCTTTGTTTCTTTATGTTTGGAAGTATGAGATTTTTCTTCGTGACACACAGACACTGAGATCAGGAGTTCTGCTTTTGATCTTTTTTTTATTATCGTTATTGTTCGTTTGTTTTATTCTGTTATTGTTCTGTTATTCCTGGAAAATGGTTTCAGAAGAACATTGCTAAGTAACTCTGTGTCCCTCCTAAATTAACTGACACAAAATACAACTGGTTGAGAAACAGAGTGACCACTGACCCCTTTATCTAGCTCAGCGCCTCGCTTGGCCCGTCTCCCCCGCTGCGCTTTCTTCGCCCACGTCTGCTAAACGTTGCGCTCTAGCCCTCCCACTGACTCTTTTATTTTCTAGACCGCTCTCTCAGTCGGTTTGACGGCTGTATGACAGCGGGTGAGAGGTTTTTGGTGAGGGACACTGAGCCTAAGGCCTGGCTGCTGGTCCGGACTGTAGACCGGACCTCGCCTCGCCCCGCCCCCCCAGGCCTCGCCCCGGGCCCTGACTCGCTATGGGGTTCTGAACGTGGCTGGAAAAACAAGACTGTGATTAGATTAAATAATCAAAAGGTTTTCATTTAACAAGACAAACAAAACACAGGCATTAAAGGCATAACATCTAGCACACAGCATGTATGTTTATACACTTCAATTAGTTTAATATAGCAGTGCATTCTTTGCCTATGGAGAACTTTTCCAAATTGTAATTCTAAAGCAGTTTTTTTTCAGTTTTTTTTTTTTTTTTTTAATGTATTTCCTTTTTTTTTATCTATTTGTTCCCTTTAAAGAAAAACTAAAAGGTGTAACCACATTTTGGCAAAATGAAATGCATTTAAACTTGCAAATATAATGAAATAAACCATAAATATACACAAAACATACTTTCATACGAGGCAATAATAATAATCATAATAATGATAATAAATAGTTTTTAAGTTAACAATAAGTTAAAACTACAAGCTTAAAGTCGCCCAAATAATACAAGTTCATTGGCGCTATATTGAT